CAGGGGCTGGGAGCAGGGACACTTCTGTCACTGAGGGTGGGGGACTCTCCCTTGTGAAATAAACTCATCTGAGTTTAGGAGTCCAGTATCCCCAGACTCATCAGGTTTCTCCCAAACATCTCCATTCCAATTTATAGGCTTCTATTCTTTTCTAGTTTAATGCCTCACTTTAACTTCAGATATCCTTCCAGACAGATTTAAACTTGCATTGCAATTTACCCAATCATGCTATGAAGGCCTATGTCTGGGTTTCAGCAACTTCAGCCCTACAGATATAGGAGACAGAGGGGGTGAGGGGAGGGCAGGGACAAGGGGAAAAAATGAGAACCAAGATCTGTCATGTAAAGGTACAAGATCTCAATAATGAATGTAACTGTACTATATACCTAAAGTGCACCAATAAACTCAATAAAAAAACAGATATAGGAGACAAGACTGTCCTTCAGGCCACATATAGGAGTCTAGGTTTATGCAAGTCTGGAGCATGGAAATTGAATCTTTGAGCTAATTCTGTTATTTTATTATTTTATACAATCAGCCAACATTGTAATCTTCCAAAACGTTTAAAAAGTTTTATCCATAGAGTCAATAAATTCCTACCATCTCAGAAAAAATAGATTAGTGCTATCAAATGTATCTGTGTTGCTTATTTCTTTGAGCAGTTTACACGATGGTCTATGACTTCTTTCTACATTATCAGGATGACTTTTAGATCTTATCAAATCAGGGAGCTAACACCAAGAACCATTATAGCAATTGGAGAAATTCTCCTTACAATTCTTTTCCTGTAGAACCACTCTGGATACGAACATGTGTATCATTTAGCATTTTATAGAAGTACAAAATATATATGAGAATATATTAGGTAAGCTTACAGGATCAGAGAACAGAGAGTCCACAATAGCTGCTAGAGAGCCAGAGGATCCAGTAGCTGCTCAGAGCAAGAGGGATCAAGGATGAAGGGTCAGTGCAAGACCAAAGGCCTGGGCACTCCTTGCAGAGTTGCCTGTATGAATCTGTTCCTAAAGGCTTGAAGAGGCTCAAGTCTGATACGCACAGGGAGTGGTGATAGCAAAAGATGCAGTTTTGCAAACACAGATAAATTTCTCCCTTCTTTCCCTTTCATTCCATCCAAGCTACAAGTCTATTAGATGATGCCACTCCATATCAGTGGGAGTCTTTCCCTCTGTTTTCTGACATATATGGCAGTCATTTCTGGACAAACTTCACAGACATACCAGAAGTGTGCTTCACTAATCAGGTAGATGTTTGTTAATTCGGTCAAGTTGACACATCCCAAATAATGGTCACATGACTCTATCTCCTCCCATGTTGTGTTTCCAAAATTGCCCTCTGGCAAAACTCATCTCCACCTCTACTCTTCAACATGGTTCATGCATTGTGCCCTACACGATAGTGTTCACAGCATTGCTGCTGCATTTGTACTTTTTTCTTTTCTTCCACCTTTGATTACCATATCCATTCTTCAAGCTTCCATTCTGGCCCTGCATTTCTCACAAGGACTTTGGTTGTAATAATCACATTGCACAGGACTATTTTTGAGTCACTCATTTTACTACCTTGCTATGTGACTGTGCTGTACATAGTCATATCTTATTTTTTCAGCTAGCTTCCAGATCATATATCAGAAGCCAACTTTCTTTCTGTACCTAGAAATTATCTAAAAGGAAGCTCTAGAAAGAATTCTTCAAAATTCACATTAATGAGATAAAAAGTGAGAAGTGATAGGCAAAAAGAAAGAGTGGGAAGAAAAATTTCTTTTTAAGTACAGAAATTAAGAATACAACTTTCAAAAACTCACCTTCTTGCATCCTGACCCTGTAATGGAAGATCTTATTTCAAATAATCAGATCACCAAACAGGTCATTTTAAAATGTAGGTACTTATTGGTCTCCTGTAGTATGGTTTCTTTTAAGTTAGTAGTGCAAATAACTCTGACACTGAGCAGTGAATTTAAAATATCTTTTGACCACAGCTCTGAAGGGGATTTGGGGAAAATTGTGCATTTGTTTTGTGCTATATGGGGAAGATAGGTCTTGCCTGTCCTTTCCTCATCACAGAACATGAAAAAAAGAAATAGTGAAAAATTGAAGCAGTGGTTGCAAGTAAAAGGAAAAAAAAAAGCAAAAGTTGGGAGTTTGATGTCCCATGATTTCTGTAGGTCTCTGTATCCTCATCTATAAAATAAAAGGATTAGATTAAGTGACCCCTAATGTCTTCTCCTCCTTTAACACTCAGTATGTAAATAAATAAAGCCCTTTTCCACAGGCTGAAAGGGAATTGGTTACTTTTGAAAAGGCTTCTTTTAGCTGTAAGCAAATGGATACCCCTGCAAAAAAGCTTTTACTAAAGCATGCATAGAATAATTTTGACATAAATAATTCATATAGACAAGACCCAAGCTAATGAAACTCAAAATGCCAGGGGTGGGAAATTTAGTTGAACAGAAACAGGTGATGTGATAGCTGCATGGAATCAAAGAACTCTGAGTTACAAGTGGCTTTTGTTGCTGGAATGTGGTCTTTTTATTACCAAGAGAGAAACCAAGTCACAGTGAGGTTACCTGGTTTCCTTAACAGCACAGTTGCATAGTGGCATTTTGGATTATTTTAATAAGTTGCTATGTTTTCTTGTAAAAGTAATATATGTTTAAGAAAAGAAATTTTATGATCAAGCCAATATAATGCCTTAACAGACTAAGTAAAAATATGATGAGTATTAAATTGCCCTTAAACTTCCTAAAACATGTAATTATTTTGTCTTTTTGTGTGCAGGGCCTAATGCATGCTAGGAAAATATGTTACGAATGAGCTACACCCCCAGTTTTGAGTCTAGAAATTACTGATAATTTGGATGTAACCTTTATATCTTTTCATAGATCCAAATGAAGATGATTTTCTTATGAATTCTAACATACATGTGCTTCAAGAAAAAAAAATTCAAGGACCTTCTTACAGGTAAATAATGTGATTACAGAACACCATCTTCTTAGCTTCATAATATGCTAGATGTAATGTGCAAGATTTAGACAGCCTTGTAGCTGTTTTGTATTTAGTTATTGTTGGTTTTTTGTAATTGATATGCTTATGTGAATTGAAATATAAATAAAAAATTAATAACTAAAGATGATAAACGTTTTTGATAATGCAAAATATCACGCTCTACAGCATTTTGATAAATAACTATGGGCCCATTAATAATAATATATTATTAATTTTATTATGATATCATTATATGTTATATTATTTATATTATATCATCAATCATATTATATTATATTAATATGCTATAATATTATATATTACATACCATATTATTTATATATTGATATCAATATATTAATGATATTAATATATAAATTAATATTTGCTGATGAGTTCTGTGATAATGACCTCAAACTATCTGGCAGTGTGGCCATGTGCCTTTTTCTTCACATTTAAAATAAAAAATTATACTGTGATTCCTGACCTATCACTTTGAAGGTTGGATTAATTAATTGAAGGTTGGATTAATTGACCTAAGAATTCAAGCAATTAAGAACGTCTAAATATTGGGCTTTAATAATAGTAATAATAATAATAATAATAATAATACTGATAATAATACATAGTCAAATTATTGCTATTTATTCTGTAACTAAAAGAGTATATGATTCCATAGTCAACTTAGGCATTGGACAAATTTTGGGACAGACATGTGGTCATCTTTAATCATTTTGTTAGTTTTATTTTCAAAATTTAGAAATGCTGGGCATGGTAATGTACACCTGTAATCCCAGTACTTGGGAGGCTGAGGCATGAGGATCTTGATGAGTTTAAGGGAAGCCTGAACTACATAGCAAGACTCTGTTTCAAAAAAACAAACAAACAAAAAAATTAGAACTGACCTTCTTTGATATAGTAGATAGATCAATAGGCATGGAATACAGAGCATGTGAATTGTGAGGGGCTGATTTAGTGAGGAAAAGGACCTCAAATTCATGAATATAGCCTGATTGCTGTGCCTTTGGGGGGCTTTCCAATGAATTAGACAATGGGCTGCAACTTTTGATCAACCACAGGCTTTTGCTGATTGTTCTCATGCTGCTGGAATGATAGAATTACGCTCTTGAGGCCTGAGCACCCATCTTCCAGTGGATTCACTCTGACATTGACTGGTGTATGAGTTTTGATATCAGACAGAGGTTGGTTTGTATTTTGGCTCACTCTTAGTCATTATGTAACAGGGAGATTTAATAGGTTTTTTTTTTTGCCTCAGTTTTCATCACTCTGTAAAATTGGGCTGTAAAGGATCCTCTAGCTCAGGGTTGTCAAGAAAATGAGGGGAGATTCTTCCCTGTGGCACTTAGCTTCCTACTGGCATTTAGTTGATGCTTACACAAATTGTGTTGTTGTACTTGTCTTCTCTCTCCCCTTATCCTTTCACCCAGCAACTGCTGGATGACACTTGCAAAAGCACAGCAGGAAGATTATCTGTGAAATATGCAGTCTCATTTTCCTAAATTCAGATGAGATCTCAGATACAATATCTAAGTGAAACATTGTCTGATAGCCAGGAAAAAATAATTGCTGGTTTACAGGAAGGCCTCCCAGACATCTTTTGTGCCAAAAGAAATCATTCTTTAGGTTTTTAGTAGAAAAACAGTACTATCTATTAGAAGAAAATAATATGGAAAGTCCTTAGAAGAAAATGGTGAAAAATAAACCTTCCCCTTAATACCAATACTTCTGTGGGATTTAATTGGCTTAGAAGTAGTACTTCTGGGATGGTAATCATTCATTTGTGCCAAGTCATTTTTTCTCTAAACATGAATTGAAGGAGTTCATACCTGGTGACAGACAGGAGCCACTGCATCCTGAAATCCTGGCTTGGGAGGAGGGACTCATCAGTCTGTATAATTCTGTTCTCTTTCATAATAGGTGTCAATTGAAATAACTTAAATTACTTATCTGTGTGACAGAATCATGCAAAATACTTACTAACTCCATGCAGTGGAGGAAAGTAGGCTTTGTTTACTCTTTGCAAGATGAGCAGGGGAGGAACTATCCTTGCATGAAGAAACAAATCTGTCATGAAAAGCAGGAATAAGTGTGGATTTTAGAACAGACTGTAACCTCCCTCAGTGAGTGGGTGACTGTCTGCAAGTGTAGCCTGAGCACTGTCTGTGGCATAACCACTTGGAATATTTATTAAAAGTTCAGACATCTAAGACAAGTGGATATTAGGTCAATGGTAGAGCACTTGCCCAGCATGCACAGGCCCTGGTTCGATCCCAGCACTTCAAGAAAAGAAAGAAGAAAAAGAAGCAGACTTCTGGGCTACATTTCTGACCAATTTCAGTGACATAATGGATGCCAAGGAATGGAGATATACATACACAAGATTATATACATATATATCCATATATACGTGTACATATATATATATATCTTGTGTATAATTTATATATATATAAATTTTTAAAAATATTACTTTTCATTGTGGCATTTTCATACATGCATGGAACATATTTTGATAATATCCATCCTTCATTGATCTCTTTTACAACCCTCTTTCCCTTGCCTCTCATCCCCTTTCTCTTGTCTAGTAGTCTTCCTTGTACTTTCACATCATTATTTTTAAATCTGCATTTTAAGAAAACATGTAATACTTGTCTTTCTTGAGTCTGGCTTATTTTGTTCGTTTTCCATGATAATCTTCAGTTCCATTTGTTTTCCAGTAAATGACAGGTTCTTGTTATTTTGCTAGCTGAATGATACTCTATATCACACTTTCTTTACTCCTTCATCCCTGACAGGCACATAGGTTGATTCTATATCTTGGCTATCATGAAGAAATCAATATTTTTCATGTAGATCTTTAGATGATACTCAGTACCTGAACCAGGAAGCTTTTCGGGATGGAGACAGTTGGGGAGCACTTGTCCACGGCGTCCCACTCATTCTCACACAAAAAGTCCAAACTTGGCTCTGGAGTGGTCTCGGAGGTCAAAAGCCTTCAGGAAAAACAAAATAAGTTGATTTATGTTTCCTATGGGAATGATGTATATTCATTATAGAAACTTTTCAAAACTATTTAAACTTAGAAAGGATTATGATAATGAATAACATTTTATCAGAGTAAATATTTTCATATGCTCATTTTACTGAAACATAGGATGAATCTTACAGTGTATTGTAGGAGTTGTAATTATCTTTAGACGGTATCTTCAATGTATATTTTAGAAACTAAAAAGTGACTAAGGAAACTGAATTCTCAATTAGAAACTACGCAAGCAGACATGTTCCCTTCATGTTCCTCAAATGATAGCAATGGTCTCAGGCATAGAAAAAAGATACAGAGAACTAAGTGACAGGGGCAAGAGAGGATGTCCATGGAATGCTTTCTCTAGGACTGATTGGCTCCATGGATATTTTTGCATATTTGGCCTGGGATAAACCTACTGGAGGACTCGGCTTGAAGGGGAAGTGCTGAAAGGGAGGGTTTGAAGCAAAGCAGTCTGCTTAGTACTGTGACCATTGCACCCACCGTAAAGAACCACTTAGGGCAATTTGACTCCAGCATTTATTTTGTATCATTGTTCTTGTTTGTTCTTTTTTGGCAGCCTTCAGTTGGTGCCTCAAACCTTTTGTAGCATATTGAAAACAATATAAAATATGCAGTGATACAGACTTCGGGCTAATATATTTTCAAAAACGTTGAATGCCTCATTTCTCACGTAAATTTTTAGGCTGCATTCAGCCTTCACAGCGTCATTCATATTCATGATAGAAACGAAGGGTAGCATTTATTACCTTCCCTGTTGGTGATATTAAGCACTGCCAAGCAAACTTACCCCAGACTAAACCAATACATTTTCTCTCTGTGTACTTTTTAATGGGAAAAATACTGTTGTGGGGATCATTTAATTAAAAATAACTATGTACAATGCACATGTCGATATATATGCCTGTATACATATACATACATTCTTCCGTCTATGATAGTTATTACAGTTTTAGATTACACCACACTCAATTCATCCAGTTTCTTTCTTGTCTTTCACTATGGAAACTGCAAGATTATATATTTGAATTCTCAATTTCCTCTATATTTAGTGATAGCTATGGGATCTGGTTATGGCCAAATACCATAGATCTCAACAGAAATTCCTGGGGAGGGTTTCCTTTCCAGAAAAAAGCAACAGGAAGAAAAGGAAAAAAAAAAAAGTATAAAGCTTTGTCCTTTGCCCTCTTTCCTCCCTGAGCTGGATAAAAGCTGAGTCATAAGTGAGCCGCCATATTCCAACCTCCAGGTAGAAGGCACACGTGAAGAACACTGGGGCAGGCAGAAGCTGACCCACGGTGGTCTGCCTCTGTTTGGACTTTCATCTAATGGAAACAGAAGTCCTTAACTTAGTCAAGCCACTACTGTTGTCTTCTGTGTTCCTCAAAGCCGAACGTATTCTAACTGACCCATCTTATCCACGCAGCAGTCACTTTGCCAATGCTGAAATCTAGCTGCTCCATCCAAGCTATCAGACGGAACATTCTCTGGAGTGGGTGATGTCTAGACTCAGCTCTGACTGTGTGAACTGGACTAGCCTACTTCGGTGCTCATGGAGTATAATTGGCATCTGGAGTTGGTCATTTATTCCTTAAGATGAAAATTGGATTAATAAAAATTAAATATTGCACTGAATGTAGACTTAAAACAAAATCAAGAGAATCATGAACTGCAATCAGTCAATGTAAAGACATGAAAACCGGGCCAGGGATTTAGCTCAGTGGTTCCACTGCCTGCCTTGCAAGTAGAAGAATCTGAGTTCAATCACTGGTACCAAAAAAAAAAAAAACACCTTCATTTCAGAGTTTTAATTTACTGCTTTCTTGGAATCACATCTAAGTAAAAAGACAAATTAAAAATATTTTTATGAAAATAAAATATTAATGAAGACATCAATACAATTGTGAAAATTACCATCTTTATTTTGAATATTCATAAATGATTAAATTTTGAAAATTCATTTTTTTAGTGGTAGAAAATGAAATTAATACTGGACCAGCACTTAAAATAGGGCTAGGTACAATGAAAATGTCATTAAAGGAATACATGATTGAATGAATTAATTAATGGAATCAAATATATTCTCCTACAAGGCCTATAACACATTTATTTATTTATTCAACATATTCATTTACTAAGCACCCATGGCAGATGCAAAGGAGAATGAGACATTTCATCTCCTCGATACAAGTGCTGAGAAAGACAATCACTCTCCAGCAAACGTCCTTCTCTGCTCCACTAGAAAGTGAGCTCTTTGGGGTTCCATTGCAGTTTTACGTATCTGAGTGCCTTGGACTGCTCAAGAAATATATTAAAATTAAAACTCTGAAATGAATTTTTTTTTTTTATAACGGGGATCGAACTCAGGTTCTTGTACTTGCAAGGCAGGTGGTGGAACCACTGAGCTGAATTCCTGGCCCCATTTTCATTCTTTACATTGACTGATTGGAGTTCATCATCCTCTTGATTTTGTTACTGTCCACTGAGTTGCTAAATGTTAATCAATCATTATGACCTTGAAAATTATCTTTTTGGACTATGCTTTAGGTCATGAAGAGACTATTAACATTGTATAAAATATTACAGACAGATCAGAGAGTTTAGTAATTCACTATTTAATGCTTATTGTTTATTTCTGTTTTTACTAGGAACACAACTTTCTCTTTGGTGTCCAATCTTTAGATACCTTTTCTTTCAAGTGAGTAGAAAAAAATTCACAGCAAAGAAATTGGCTCCTTCTATTTTTCTTACAAGAACGGATTTGATTATTGAAATATATATTCTAAATATACTTTAGAATTATAGAACTTCTTTGCATTATAGAAGTAGTATATTACTGATATAATTAGTAATGGATTACTATACAATACATTCTAAAAAATTAGAAATAGTGTATATAAAATAAACAAGCCATTTATAGTAGTGTTTTATACATTTTATACAAATATACATTCTGATTTTGCACTTAATCATTTTGAATATAACAAAAAATTTCTAAAACTCTACTTGGAAACAGCCCATTTACCCATCATTTGGAAACTGGATAAAGAAGATGTGGTATTTCTATAAAATAGAATACTACTCAGCCATAAAGAATGAGAAATTAGATTCATTCATAGGAAAATGGATACATTTTGAGGATATACTCCTAAGTGAAATAAGCCACACATGTGTAAATACCAAATAGTTTATTTGGTGTGAAAAACTACAACATTACAAAAGATCCTAATGAGATAATTAACTGTGAAATAGGAAGAAAAAGGGCTAAAGGTGTAGGGAAAGTGGGAAGGGTAGGGGAAAGGGAATAAGGGAAAAAAATCTGAGAAAACAAAAAAATGGAAATAAAGTGTTTGTAAATGGGGAAGGTAGGAGGGGGTGAAGGGAGGGTAGGGACAAGGGGAAAAAATGAGAACCAAGACCCGTCATGTAAAGGTACAAGATCCCAATGATGAATGTAACTGTACTGTATACCTCAAATGTACCAATAAACTCAATAAAAAGAAAAAAATAAAATAAAAAATAAAACTATGGATTGGTACTTTTTTAGGAACTAAGCAAATAGTTAAAAGACTAGGAAGTTCAGAGAAAGTAATCAATGCAAAATACATGACTTTTGCTTCAGGTGTTTCATGACAATTTTCTTTAGAAATAAACCAAAATATTAATTTAAAAACTCAATTCCTCCTCCCATTGAAGAAATTATGTAAAACAGATTTTAGGTGATCAGGTAATTCTATTTTAATACTTGTTAAAGATGACACTACAGAGAGAAGATTTTTTCTAAATCTGAAATTAAGAACAAAAGAAAAAAGGAATTTTTTATGCTTCACTTAAGTTCTGTCATGTTGCTTTTTCAGCATCATTGGTATATTGTGAGGCAAAGAGAACATGATTCAGACCAGTGATATGAATTTAGTGGGTCTTCAGAAGACTCATTTTCTCCATATGTCTATAAATCTGAGAGTATCTATCTGCCTAGTGCCTGTTAGAAACCCATACTGGATTTACAGATAAACACCCTGAGTGTTGGTCTTCAAGTGGTTGTCACTAGTTTCACAACTCTAGGAAGAAAGAGTATTAATTAAAACGTCAGAAAACATGAGTCTCATTTCAACTCCATATTTAATAAATTATTGACCTTTGCTTAAGCCACTTAGAATTTCTTTACTTTTTAAATAGGCTAGTAGAGTAGTTGCCTGATAATTTTCATCCCAGATTTCAAAATATGACTGTAAGTTCGGGTGTGGTGACACATGCCTGTAATCCCAGCACTGAGGCTGAGGCAGGAGGATCACTGTGAGTTCGAGACCAGCCTGGGCTACATAGTAATTTCCAGGTCAGTCTCAACTACATAGTGAGACCCTGTCTCAAAAAAAAAAAAAAGACTGTAAGATAACATACTTCAATAATTCATTGATGCCATTTTCAGAAATATAACCCTAACAGTAAAGAAAAATGTCAGAAAATGAGATATATTTAATATAGCACTTGTAACAAAATGTGTACATTATTTAAAGAAGTGTGAGCAAAATGAAAAAAGCTATTTACACTATCAACAGAACTGTATAATGAAGGACATAGTACATACAGATTAAAATACACGTATAAAAATTACATTGATAGTCACAATTTTTTCTTTGGATGGAGATCTGCATTTTTAAAGGAGTACTCTAATTTATAAGAACAACAGTACAAATAAAACCATTTCTAGACTTAGCAATAGTTTTAATGAGAGTTTGTGAGGATGGAGACAAAGAAACAGACTCAAGAGACAATGTGAAGGTAAAATTCTGTATACTCAACTCTATAGAATACGCAGTTGAGTGGGTGAAAATGGCATTAACTAAGCTGAAGAAGACTGAGAACCACATTTGGGAAAAGTTTTAGAAATCTTGATTATACTTGTAAGTCATTCTAAGTGGACTGGGGGTTATGTGAGTCTGAAGCTATGACTAGAGACCTACAAAAATAATTTGGGTTGTGGACATATAAACGATTTGCTAACAGCTGTGTGTGTATGCACATCAGGACAGAATGACAATAACAGTAGATGAAGGCCCAGAGGCAGTCCTAAAGGAAATTTAAACATTTAATTTCAAGGAATGGAAGTTGCAAGCATACCAATTTAGAGAAGAAACAACTAAAATAGACAAAAAGGCAACTGAGGTAACATGTTGCCTCAGGGTCCCAGAAAAGAAAGCGTTTGCAAAAGGTGACTGTGGTCAGCATTGCTGAATATGGAGGAGCAGAGGGTTTGAGATTGGCTCCCTGAACCACAAAAACACTTGAAAGGGAAGGCAGATGCAGACACTGATTGACAACTGATAAGGTGGGCTGAAAGCATGGGACAGTACATGCCCGTGGAAACAAGTAGAAAAAGTGATGTATAGAAAAGGGATGGACAAAAAAATGGGTGTATAGCCAGAGAATATCTGAATGATACTGGGAAGAGTTTACTGAAAAAGAAGATATGAAATTTAAATATAGAGAGAAGATGTATAAAAATGTAAACCGTGTGTGCTCCCATTAAACATCACAGTGCATATAGCTATACAAAGTCCTCTTTGAGGGATGCCTGTCATCTCCTGGTCTCATACATAGTATTCTTTCCTTCTTTATCTTTTTGGACACACACTAGTAATTCTTTCAGAAATTCTAGCTGTAGAATCTTTACAGAGATAGGAATTCCTTCTGTCATTTGCCCTGCTGGCCCTTTTCTGTTTTCGAGGCTCAGGTGATATCCTTTTTGACCATTTGCTGAATTCAAATCACCTCCAGATCTTCAGGTCTGATTCCTTCTTTTTTTCAGCCTTCAGTTTTAGTATTTTCAGTGAAGCTCCTTCTAACCACCCAATCTAAATTCATGAACTATCCTCAGTATCCTCACCCAGTCAGCCTGTTAATTCCTACCGAGTACCTTTTATCTCATGTTTTGTGCTTGTTTACACATTTGTGCTCTATCACTTTCCTCTAGAATGTGGACTTCCTGAAAGCTGTGATCATATCTCACTCACTTAATGTGATAACCTTAGGGATAATGCTTAACTTATAATAATACTAAAAAAAGTTATTGATTGGTTGAATGCTAAGTTGAACTCATGAAGTTTTCTCAAAACATACCTAAAATTAAAAGGAATATGAGTACATATCTTAGTCACATTCAGTAAAAAAATAAATGTCATATTAGAAGATAAAGGTGAACAAGGTTATTTAAAATATTGTAGATTTTTAGTAAATAGTTTTTATGATTTTTTAATAATAATATCAACTCTAACATTTGTCCCTCAAGTATATATTACCTAAAGGAAAGGGTATGAGAAAGTACCTAGTCTTGTATAAAAACATTCTATGTATAATCCTTTTGGTATAAAATTATATGCATAAAGTCAGAAGCATATTTATATTCAGCAGGCATTTATTAAGCCATGAACTATTGTAAGCACATGGAATTAACTAAATGAAGGTAGAGTAAAGATACAAAAGTTAAGAATATTGCGATTTAAAATGGCTATCTTAGAGTGTAAACAAAATAATAAGAGGCTAGCTTGTGTTCAAGTCCCTGGGCAACGGAAACTCATGCATCAGGTTAGACACCTTCCAAATGTTTTTCTTCCTCCTGGAGGCAAGATGTTAATGTGAAGTTCAGTTTCCCTGGTATATGACACCTTTTTCCAAATCATGGGCAAATCTTTTCTCATAACGAAAGGAAAAAGAGAAGGCAATTTTCAATGCCAGCACTTCAGTAGAGTAATTAAACTTTGGCTGTAGCAGGAGGAGGTTGCCTTAAGAAGAGAAGCTCAGCAAAGGAAAAATGGTTGTGCAATGTCAGCTTATTATTTCTGGAAGGGGCTAAAGATTAGAAAATAGCTCTTCCTGAGTTGTGAGAAGTCTATAAAACTGAGTAACTCAGAAAGCACTGAAAAGAAATACTGAGAAACACACAAAAAAATGAATAAATAGCAATAGAAAATCTACAGAATAAAACATGAACTTTGGAAAGAGAGGGAAGATTTTACATGTCTATGAAATCATAACCATCCTTGAAAGATTAAAATGATTTCAGAATTTTCCAATTTATTTAATGCAAACAGGTGTGACTTGTTCTGACAAAGATGTGACATTTTCTACTTCAATGCTATTAAGCAGAACAGAACAATGAGTTTATACTGGTTATTCAAATTCATTCTTAAAGACCAAAATAAAATCTGATTATAAATATTGGAAATGTTTACATGTCAGAGAGCTTTATTTCCAAATATTTCTTTAGGCTTATAGTCTCTCTCAGAGGATTAGAAAACAGTTTTATAAATATATCTCATTTAAACATTAATGAAAAAGCAAATCGTTTGCCTTTTGAAAACTGCAGCATCTATTCAGGTGTCATTAATCACTTGTTCAATGAATAGAATGAGGTAAAAGCTGAGGTGGAAATACGAAGCTAGAGTTTTATGGCAGTATTCATATATATACAAATATTAGCTACGTATGTTGTGTGTACATATCTATATCTCTATGTATTTGTGTGCACATATATATATATCCTCTATATATGTATGTTTATATACATGTACATGTATGCATGCATGTTTTCTCACATCTAGACAACACAAGAGAATGCAAGTACTTAACCAAAGAAGTGGGAAATATTTCTGCTTCTTTCAAAGAAATCTTGTCACTAAAATAATATTAAATCTTTTTATCTACATTTTGCCATAATGAACAAGTAATGCTGATAAATACTAACATAATGTGGCATGCTGTGGCTACATTTTACTTCAATTAGTTCATATTTTTTAGAAAACAAGAGACAATTTAAAGGAAAGAACATCATTTGAAAATATTGCATACTTGAAACAAAGTTCTATTTTCATATTAATTTTGAAATGAAAATAAAGAAAATTTAAATTCTACTTTTTCTGATATAAATAATGGGACCTATTCTTTGCATAATATCAGTTCATTTTAACACTTACAGGGACCAACTTTAAACCTATTGCTTCATCTATATTATACTACAAAGAAATTGTTCCTTTTTATTATTCCACATTGGGCAGGAGTGAGTCATTTTTAGATGACTCTGGATTCAATTCACTTCACTACATTTTGAGTTACAACAATTGGTAAAAAATCATGCAGCCTTAGTAGAACTGATCAGCTGTAACATATTTTACAAAATTTGAATCAAAAAATGTGGCATGCTTTCAAGTTATTGCTTAAATAATTCAGGCTTTAAGGCCACATTATTAATTTCCCCACTTTTATGATCTTGACATATTTTATATTAAATCTTTTATGAAGAATAATTTGTCTTTATCTTGAGCTGTGTTTCTGCTAGGCCATTAAACCAGGTTGTGACCCAGTGGAATCAATGGGGACATTAAAGCGACTACAGAAACTGGTATGGACCAAGAAAGGCAGGATGCCTAGTCAAGATGAGGTGAAACCGGCATTAATAAATCTCAGTAAGTAAGAGCTTAATCAGCTGCTGAAAGTTCTGTGAGGGAGAACTGATGAAGCATACATTAATGAAGTTCATTTGGATAAGGCCTTAAAAATAATCATTAAACTTTGAGCTTTTTTAATTGCTAAGTTATTTTAAAACAGATATCCTAGTTCTATTTCTGAATTTCACCCTGTATCTATACTCCACCTCAGTTCTTCCTTCTAGGACCAGATTTAGGGATAGAGTATGAGACAGCTATGAATGAAACTCAGAGGAAAAATATGTATTAGAAATTTCCACTATCCCCATTTTGTGACCATAGAAAATATATTTTTGAATTTTAGCATGATTGCAATAAATTGGTGTATCTATGATAAGCCAATGTCATATGTCTTTGATTTCATTTATTTACAAAAATTCCTTATGAATCACAATGTGGTACTGCACCAGTTAAACATTTGAATTTAGAGGGACTCAATGATTTAGAGCAATTTACTTTGGATGCTACAGAATTTTGTTGACTGTAACTGCTTCATATATTAAAATCAGTTTTCCTTTTCTGAAATTTTACTCTCCACAGTTTCAGTTAGCTGTGGTCAACTATGGCTTCAAAATATTAATGGAAGACTCCAGAAATAAACAATTCAAAAGTTTTAAATTCTGAGCCATTGTGAGAAATCTAATGAAATCTGACATTGTCCTGCTTTGTCTGGCCAGGGACATGAATCATCCCCTTGTCTAGCATATCCACACTGTATAGTTCACCTGCCTGGAGCAGTTGAGGGGAGAGAGAAAGACAGAGAGAGAGAGAGAGACAGAGAGAGACAGAGAGAGACAGAGAGAGAGAGAGAGGGAGGGAGGGAGGGAGAGGCCTACAATAACACAACCTCTAATACAGTATAATGTTATAATTATTCAATTATTGCTTTTAAACTTTTACTGTGCCTTATTTATAAATTAAATTTGATCATAGCTATGCACATATACAACAACATAATATATATAGGATTTGGTACCATCTATTCTCAAGGCTCTTGGGTCATATCCTCAGTGGGTAAGAGAGGACTGTTTTACTAGAAAGGTTATCAAATGAATCATCGTTCTGTATAAATATAGATCTCATTAGTCGACTTTGTAGTACTTAAAATATCCCTGTTTTTCATTTTCTCAGTTTTTTGCTTTTCCAAGATATTTCACTAAAAGACAGACTTCTTAAATAAATCTCTTTAAGGACTGATATTCAAAAGGAAACTTTTAGAATGTCAGTTGTATTTCTACCTTTGTCCACTGAGATTTCATTCCATTAAGTAAGGCAAAGAATTTCATTCGCTTTATTATGACTCTCTATTACACACATGACCTCAAAAAACTACAAATGTTTAAGAATAGAAGTGCACTATTTTATGCTTACAAAATGTGGGTAATGCTTTTAAATTTGTGATTTTTCTCGATTGTCTTGAGGTATGTTTTTGGTATGTGGCTCCCATTCATTCTAATCCAATTAATATTAATCAATAAATATGTTTCAAAAGGTTTGGAGTAAATCCAGTTTTACAAAACAATTACATATCTTTTTTAATGATATCTTTTTTAAAGAAATAGTATTATAAATTTGTGGAATTACAGAATTTCTGGTCTCTCCTTTTTAAATATATTTCTATTGCACTAAGAGAAGTACAGTATTCATAATTTCTACATATGAAAATTTATTAGACAAATATAATTTTAACTTATGTTTCTTTGTCATTCAGAAGATGAAGATGACACATTGATTTCCTTTATGAAGTTAACTGAATCCCAAGAAATGAAAGCTTATAATGTTAATATAAGGAGGAAGGAGGAAATGGAGATTAGATTGGAACCTCTTTCTTCATCTGTGGGTAGATCCAGCACTTCCAAGTGGAAAGAACTTGGAAGATATGTTACCTCATTATGAGGGTGAAGGGCCAATGTGGAACAGCTGGAAACTGTCCAGAAAATCCTCCAAGGACATATATTGATTTCCAAATTGCCAAAGGTGGACCCTGGGGAAACCGCTTCTCCACTACTCACCAAGCAGATCTCAAAGCTTCTTACACAGATACGGATCTCTTACATTTGTGGGTAAGTTTGTAAACTACGGAAATGCGTCATCTTAATCTGGATGTACAGACAGGATACAAACAGATTACAAATGTGCTAATCAACAAGGTTTATCAGTTTCATGAAAATTACCACAGCTAAAGCTGTCTTTTCAAAAAGCAGAGCAGCTCTTATGGCTTTTGCCATTACTATTTTCCATGTGTTCCTTTGTGAACAAATATATTACTGCATTACATTTTCCAGAGCTTTCTTTTTAATTGAAGGGAGACACGGGATACCAATTCAGGTGAAGAAAATGTATATTGAAATATCCAAATTCTTGCCATCATAATGAAGTTGCATTAAAGCTTTCTAAGGCATGCATTGTGCCTCAATTTCCCTTCAGCAAGTCACTGTTTGTGTTTGCAGTGATAGAGTGGAAAGGTTATGTATATTTGGGAAGCCCGCCCTATTTGATTTTCCTGTAAGCATCAATCTCTCATTACACAGGGCCTACATTTTATGATGCATTAGCTATCTCTCAAGAAGCTTATTCTCATGTGGAATCCTTTTCACCTTTAAGATTTGTTTATTAAGTCTTGGTGACTCGAGTGAATATCACCTGTGATTAAAGTATTATATTACATATTACAAACATCTGGCAACATACTCAAAACTAGTGACTCTACTCAACACTAATCATTTTCAGAAATGCCTTTTCTATTTCTTTAGTCCCACTCTTCTGCAGTAGCTGGGTTTTACTGGTTTCTCTTCAGCAGATTCTTAAGAGTGGTAATATAATTAATTAGGACTAATTTCAGAATTCTATCTCTAATAACCTCAGAAGTAAGATCAAACAGCAAAGATACAAAATAACACTTAGCCAAAGATATTCAGACCTTCAAGAATAAAATCTATCCTCCCCCACTTGGCATTTCTAGATACCAATAGTCTGACTCCATTCTAATTTTTCAATCTTCTCTTCTTGCTGCTGTTTCCTTGTGGATTTCCTATGCTGAATTACCAAACTGAATTTGATATTCCTAAGAGCTTTCTTGAACTTTCATGTTTCTGTGTCTTTGTGTTTCTATTGTGGCCTCTATCTTGTGTATTTTTCTGTCTGTGTTTGGAGCCACTGACTGACTTGTCCCTTAGGATCATACCAGATATTTTGTCCTCCAGAAAGGCTTCTTGAATCACACTAGACAAGAGTAATCTTTCCCTCCTTTGTACTTCTAGATCAATTCAATGTGTTATTCTTTCAGTATACATTTACCAAATGCACACCAGCATCTACCATATGCCAAGTCACAATATTACACAATGGGGAAAGAAAGCTAATATATATTATATCATATACATATATATGTATATATGCACTGGCTCTGCCTTCATGAAGTTCACCATGCTCCACCCTGTACTGGAATTCACTAGACATTGGTTCACTTCCCATAAATAACTTATCTTTGTAATGTTCATAATCCCTAAAATATAATAAAAATATCTGAGTAGTATTCACTGTCTAAATGAAAGAAGTCTTAAAAACCAATAGACTTTGTTTCCATAGTTTTAGATACATCACTCCTACTAGTTTTTCTCTTCTTACTACAAAGGTTTATTCATTGTAATGAATCCACTCATATGTAAACTCAGCTAATGTATGCTTGTGGATCTGTATGAGTACATTTAGGTAAATGCACATTATTAAAGTTTTCTTTACATAATGTTGTCTATTTTAGCACATCACTCAGTGATTAAGTGAGTTTTTTCTTGTGAAGGTCAAACATATCAGCAGAATGCTCAGAATTTTAAATGGTAATATTCAGCATTTGTGACAAGAAGGCCTCAGTGGATTTGGAGAGAAGGTTCAAGATCATGTTAGAGTTAAATTGGTTCGGTAAACTTAATGAGACCATTTACACTCAGGGATTTGAGACACAAGAGTGAAAGAGGTTGGATGAGTGCAAATTATTATTTTTATATTCTACACATACATTCTCTAATAATAACAAGTAAAAGTATCCAGTTTCATTTTAGTGTAGCTAGTATTTTTTCTGTAGTAATTGCAGAGTTATAATTTGGGTTATTTAACTTTCATTCTATAGAAGGTATAGAAGGCAGATAAAGTTCAAGAAAAAGATGTGCTTCTGAAATGAGTGTTACTATTAATGACAGGTAGTGAAAGGTGACATTTTGCAATCTTAGAAGGACAAAAGTGTGACTTGATTTTTTAAAACGTGTGCCCAACTTATGCAGAACTGGAGGAACCAGGCCTGAAACCCCACAATTCATGTGAAATGACTCTAATACACAAGGACACTAGTTTCTCCTTGAAGTCAGGAATTTCAGGAATGGTAGATGACAGTCTTTAATTCCATTATCACAATCAAATTTTAAAGTGGTCTGAAACTGGTTTATCTTCCTTATTCACCTAGGTATTACCTGTCTAAGCCCAGTGTAGGCTCGCATTCTCTAGAGTGGTTCTAATGGATTAAATCCAGCTCTGACATTAGCAGCAGAGTCAGACTGAGCAACTCTACATTTCCTGAATTCCAACACTGCATGGTGATTTCATTTCCTACTCTTTCAAAAAAAGCACTCATTTGTAAAGTTTTCAATACCTGCTATGCAGAACTATTAGAATGATTCAATGAAATGATGTTAGGACTCGGTCAATAGTAAGTAATATTTATTCTAAAACCAAAGGATCCACTGGCCTTCCTTAAGATTGGAAAGAAGCAACGTAGTATTCCGTTAAAACACCAGAAACAAATTGAATCCAACAGGGAAGTGTATTGTTGGTGAAGAGTTCTTCACAGAGTCAACAGGAGAATGAGACACACAGATGTTTAACATGCAGTTTGTTTTTTTGTTAAACCTGAGGGATCTGAAGAGTGGGGAAAGATATGTGAGTGTGGAATTGATATAAACTGAGAGAGGTAAAAGATCAGATTTACGAAAGTGTGTACTCCACAAGAGAAACTTGAAAATCAAAAGAGATGAGGGTCTTCTCTAATATCTGAGATGAGTGGTTTTGAAAGGAATTTAAGATTCATCTTAAGAAAGATAATAGCAGTGGTAACCAAAAATAATATTTGAAGCCAAGTGTTTAGAATCAATTTACAAGAAGAGTGATTGGAGGGTACTTATAGTGCTCTACATGCTAAGAGCTTGAAACATCTTAACAAAAAGAAGAAAGAAGAAAGTGAGCTACAGGCTTGGTAGAGCATAAGGATAGGAAAGAAAGGACCTGAAACTTTTCTTCAATAAAAAAATTATAATAGCAAACATTTTTTAAATCTGGGAGAAATTCTCAGACATAAAAATAAGCAAATTATTTCTATAATATTAACAAATGGGAATGATCTAGACACAAAAAGGAGATGATTATTCATTCCTCTCCTTAAATTTCCAAATTACTTTGAAATCTGTTTAATAAAAGTGGTATGTTTAAAAAAGAGACAGTAACAAAAGCTCATACATGAAAAAGCAAAGGCAAAGACCTAAAATAACAAAATACATCTAAGTAGAATTCAAGTACAGTATAGTTAGAAAAATGATAATATAGACAGAATCATACGTCAAAAATCAAAGAAAAATGAGTCAAGTTTGTATATAACATCTCAAGGTGAAAAAATAAATAAAGTTCCCCTTATGGTAACAAGAAGCAGATGAAGAAATCCTGCTGGACTAGCATATGAACTAAACAAAATGGTGTCAAAAGAGAAAGTGTGAATAATGGCAAAAGTTTTGAAACTATTTCAAAGAGTGGAACAGGACGTAGCTCATGCTAACCATAGGGAAATAGTGTGCTTTCAGCTCAGGTGTGGAATAGTGGATGCTGATTACATTAGAAAATACTTTAGAATACACAGATTCACTCCTAAATTGAAGAACAGTTTAAAAACAGTGGTCTATGACAGAGAGGGGATAAAAATAACAAAAAATTGTTTGTATCTATCTTCTGCTTTGCCTCTCTATTCTACTTGTATGGTGATCTCCCCTGGTATCTATGACTCTCTTATGCCCCTTTTATCACCATGACACCTTGTTACCAGATTAATTTACTTGACTAATCTAACCAAGTAACTCTACCTGACTCATAATCCTGAAGCTTGCATCTGTGTCACTTTTCATTTTATAAAAAGTTAAGTGTCTTCCCAAAACCGTTAGGGTCAAATGCAAGCTTATTCACTTAATGTGTCTTCTAACCAGACCCCTGCATTTCTTTCACATGCTCTTCACTTCAGGCAAACTGAGTTCCATCTTTTTTACTAATACAATTATTTTATACCTATCTTTATGTCTTTGTACTGTTTCCTCATTTTAGCGTTTCATTCTTGTGTATTTGATGAATTATTCCCAACACCATTGGAGGCTGAGGTAGGACGATACAAAGTTCAAGTTCTGCCTGGGCAATTTAATGACTTAGTGAGACTCAAAATAAATTTATAAAATGGACAGGATATTTTTGTGTGAAGACTCAGGGTTCAATTTTCAGTATCAAGAAAACCAAATAAAGTAAAAAATAAATGAATTTGATGTTGGAAAAATAAAAGGGGGTATAGGGAAAGGGAAAAAAAGAATTGAAATGTATTATGTATGCATACCAATTTCTTATAGTGAATGTAGTAACAATGTACTGCAAACATGTACTAATAAAATTAAAAATTAAAAAGGTGATGAATAACTTTAAGTGTATGGTGTTAATACACTTTAAAGAAAAAACAATAGTTGAAAAGAAATTAGACTAGACACCAGTAAAAATATATTCTTTGTACATTTATGATGTTAGGCTGTCAAATAACCTCTGTGTTCTCATGGGTAGGCATAATTTTTCTGGCCCTGTAAATAATAAAATACACTAAGAAGACAACTCAGACATCCAACCAGAAGAAAGTAGACTATAAACTATGAAATTTGATTACTCATAGTTCTTATGTTTCAACTCCATGACTCAAAAAACCATGTGTTGCAAGAGCTTTAAATTTTACTTGCTTTCACTGGAATTATTGTGGGATGGAAAGTAAAAAAAGTTAGTT